CGGGGGGCCCCTGCCACCCCCCGGGAGCTGGGCAGGGGTCCTGGCAGGCACCTGTGCCCCGCCACCCTGTGGAGCACCAGGGGCTGCTGCCAGCCCAGGTGCGGGTCCCCCACCCTGGGCTGGTGCGGTTTGGCCCCGCTGCACCCCTGGCCTCAGGGACACCCGCTCCTTGCAGGGCAGCTCCAGCCACTGCCAGCCCCAGGGTGCCCAAGGGGACAGAGAGGTTTTGCCCCTTTTCTGTCCCCTTCTGAAGCTTGGCGGCCGCTTGGCCCCAGCTCCCCTAAAGCAGGGGTGCGGGAGCGCCAGTCCAGACAGGGCACAGGTGAGCCAGGTGCTGCTGGTGGACACCGGGCTGGCAGACCCCCGTGAGCAGTGGGGATGCTCCATACCCCTTCCAGCTCCTCTCCCAGGGCTGAGCTGGGGTGCACCTGGGCAGAACCCCATGTAGCTGGCGGCACCAGCTGCTTGGCACTGAGCGGGAGGGGGCTCAGCCGCCCACCCCCCTGTCACGGCTCCATCTCGCCTCAGTCCTTCGTGGCCACGTAAAACCAGGGACACCCGCCTCCGCCAAACCCTTCCTCTGAGCATCGGCACTGCTGTGCACCATGAGCCAGGGTCTGCCGGTGTGTGTCGAGCTGGGGCTGAGCCGGCGGCCCCCTCCTCAGCCGATGCAGCTGCACTCGGCCGCCGAGAGCTTCTCCACCGTCTGCCACGTGTTCTGCACGTCCATGAAGGAGACAGCCTCATAGCGGGTGGGCCGGCAGCAGGGGTGACTGAGAACCCGCTCCTGTGGCCCTGGGGTGATGAGCTGCTGCCGCAGCAGGTTGCCCAGGGTCAGGTCGTAGTTGCTGCGCGCCCGGTGGCAGGACCCACTGCAGTACTTGAAGAGCACGATCTCATCTGAGTTGAAGCCCAGGCCCAGGTCACGCACCTTCACCATCAGGTTGCGAATGTGGCAGTTGCGCCCACGGGCCCCCCGTGAGGGTTTCCGCACCCCCTTCTTGGCTTTGCTGGCACCTGGCGGTGAGCGCTCGGCACGCAGCAGCAGGTCCTCTGCCAGCTCCACGGTGCCCGGGCCACCCGTCGTCACGTTGTCCCCTGCACACAGAGGGGACGGCACCATCAGACCCCATCCCTCACCCACCACCCTCCTGGGGGATGCCGAGCCTGCCCGTCCCCTGCCGTGACCTGCAGACCCCTCCTTACGGTACGGCACTGGCCAGATGCCTGCGGGGCGGTAGGGTGGGTGGGTGCCCAGCCAAGCATCTTCTCATCCCCAGGGCTCTGCCACCAGAAGCATGGGGCCCCATGTGTTCAGACCCCCAGCCCGGCCCTGATGTGCAGAGGCAGCCCCGCACGGGCTGGGGCTCCCCACAGCGGCCCGCAACCCGCCCATGCTCCACGCTCAGGGCTACCG